TAGTTAACACAGCGTTTCGAAAAATCATTCGGGGATGGCAGGGGAGTTCGGTTTTTCCCGGTCCCATACTTTTGTCGAAGAGGGCTCCATCCGTGATTTCCTGATGGGACACTCGAAAAATGTACGGGACGGTTGTGTTTCATCAGTGATATCCTTTTGGGAGCAAGGTAGCCGATGGCTTTCGCTTTCGATGATTGCTTGACTATAATCGCAAATCTGTTCTGACTTTTTGGCATGCGCAACTTACTGTTGAATCGGGTGATCAAGTCGTGAGGGATTGGGCTTATATAAAAACGAATCAGACGCCTGGGATTAACACTTCCTGCGACTACATTAAGCTCGGCATCTTCAGAAATTATCTGGATCGGTTCTGGGTTCAATAGAAATAAAAGACAATTTGCATTTGATTGCCTTTTCACTTTTTTCTTGAATTATTATTTTGCAGCGTGTACGTCGCATCGGTTCATCCCGATCTCTCGGAATCCGATCTCAAAAGTGTATTCGAAGCATTCGGTGAAGTAACAAAATGTCAGCTTGCACGAGCTACTGGCCCAAATGCTGGCAGTGGACACAGGTAATTTGCGAAATTTTAGGAAGAGGGATCGTGGACCTTTTGTTTTCGGACATCATCGAAACTCCTTTCTACTGGATGCACTCAACACTGTCAAACTTACACAATTTCTCCCTCGGGCATGGATGAGATTGCTAGGTTTTTACTGACAGTGATTGGGAAGGATGTTTATTTTTTGCAGGGGTTTTGGATATTTGGAGTTCAGTAATGCGCAGTCGGCGGCCGAAGCCATTGCTGGCATGAACATGTTCGACTTGGGCGGGCAATTTTTGCGTGTCGGCAAATGTATCACTCCGCCGGACGCACTAACATACATTGTTCCCACTTCGACAGTCAATCTGCCCACTGCTGCTGCTGTTGCGGCTGCTGAAGTTACTGCTAAGATTCAAGCGGAAGAAATGACGGCCAAGAAATCGCCGATTACGTCGATAGTCACCGGCAAATCATCGCCATCTGTAAGCCCTTCGATTTTTTTTAATAATTTCAAGGGAATAACTGTTCTCGAGAAAACAGCAGCTAGTCGAGAAACATGCATTAATTGTAGAAATACCAACACAATTAGGAAAACTGGAAAAAATTAGATTTAGAGAGAGCAGAATAAGTCGGACCAAAAGGATCAGAAAGGGCCTAGAATGTTCTGCAAATATAAAATCGGTGAAATAAGGGGCATCAGAAGAAAAGATTTTTGGAAAATAACGGAAAATATGAAAAGATTTGCGAAAGACCCGAAGACAAACATATGTATGTGTGGATGCAAAACGTGGTTACTGACGTAAGCAGGGCAGTGAGGGCTGGCCGTAAGGGAGAGAGCAGTGGAGCAACGATGCTTGAAGTGCCTTTTCGTGGCCATGTTAAGCACTTACTTGGATTCTTTTTCTCAGTTCTAAACTTTGTGAATTTTAATAGTCAAAAATGCGAGTTTTGTTTAATCCGCCCGTAGATTGCTGAAATCAGCTATGATATTCTTTCCCATTCCAACTGTGGTCACTAAACGCTCGTAAGTGTGGCTGTTTTGCAGCTCCCGGCCGCGATTCCAATGGTAGCACACGGTTCGTCGCCACAGCCATACGGGACGCCAACAACAGTGCCTCTGATTGGAGTGGCCACAGTGCCACCGGTTGGAATAGCAACAGTACCGCCTGTTGCAATAGCACCAGCAATACCAGCGGTCGGAGTAGCCACACGTCCTGCAGTTGCAGTGGCCACCCCGCCCCCTCCGCCAGCAGCTGCAACGGCATCCACATCCGCGCTGTACTCCCCGACAGTCCCTCCACCACCACCACCCACCACTGCCACTCCTGTTTACCAGGCAAGCGGATTTTTGACAACAATAACACTGAATTTGGCAGCATGCGTAGAATCGGACAATGTGAATTTTCAGCATTTTCATTGTTTCATTTATTTTATTCAGATCGAAGGGACAAACAAATTGGCAAATGCGTTTTTCGAGAAAATAGTTTTTCGTTTTGTTCAAATTCTCATTCCTTCAAATTGACCGGTGCTGTTTGCGAATCCGTTAATTTTAGAGCGAGCAGTCAGAAATTATCCTCCCTTTGGAGATTTCTGCGACGAAGAGTAGTTTTTCTAAAAAAGTTTGTTACGAAAAGTTGAATTTTCCATTAAAATACATCTGCATTGTTCGAAATCTTATGTATAACAAAACTGCTCTTTTCGTACCGTTTTCCGTTGGAAGAGGATATCCAGGATATTTCCTTGTATCAGCCACGGCGTTTTTATTAAACAGGCTGGGAAAAGGGTGCAATGAGGGCTGGAATTCCGTTCCTTCTGTTCCCCTTTACAGTCCTCCAGGCGAGCTGTTTATACTTTTTTGTTGATATGATCCTCATAG